CATCGAGTGGGGAGTGGATTTATAAACAATCCCTGCAGATCAAATGTGTGAAAAGGCTCATAGTTGACCGGCGGGAGCACCAACATCACCAGCATTGGTCTGATCACAAATGATCCGGTGTCACCTGTGTGACATGAAATGACCGTGAGCCACAGCATGGGGGACAATGCAGAAAAATTGAAGGTATGGCATTGCACTGAGATGTCGGATCTTGGGTCTCAGATTCCACCAGATGTGGCCCCTGAGGTCCTCGCCATTTCCCACGTCCAATTCTTGGACACAGACTCGGAAATACCAGGTTTTGATGGCAGTCTGTATGTGCAGATTGGCCTTGCAGACGTGCTTGTTTGTGGCATTCACTGCATGAAGAGGCTCAGGAAGGTTTAGTAGTACAGAATTGATCTAGAACTTTCTCTGTGCCAACCTAGATCTCACTTCAAACAAATTGATTACAAGCCTTTGATTGGCTGACTGCGGCCCTACCTCAGGGCTTGGGTTGGGTGGGCAGATGATGGAATTTCCAGTGCTAGACATCACCCGCAACAGCTTGAATTTTTCCACATTGTTTCCCATGCTGTGTGGCTCACGATCGACCCGTCGACGCATCATGTCACACAGGTGACACTGGATCATTTGTGATCGGACCAATGCTGGTGATGTTGGTGCTCCCGCTGGTCAACTATGAGCTTTTTCACACATTTGATCTGCAGGGATTGTTTATAAATCCACTCCCCACTCGATGCTGAAAAAAAAGTTTTCAACCAAAAAAAAAAAGGGGGACATGCAAAAAAAATGGGGGTAGAACACATTGTGCCCCAACTTTTTTTGGTTGGAAACCAAAATCTCAAAAGTTGGGGGAGGGTCCCTACCTTGGAACCATAAAATACTTGCGGAAAAGTCACTTTTTTTGAAAAAAAAAGTGGGGTGCACACGTACACCAAAAAAATTTGGGGCAGAATAAATGTGCATTTTGACCGCCATAAAAAAACACCACCCGAGATTTTTTGTCCGGACTTTTTTGGAGCGGGGATTGCAAGACTTTGTCCGGATGGTGTTCAGACCCCTGGTTTTGGCCAAAATTTTGTCCGGACTGTGCTCAAACCCCGAAAAATCTCAAAAAAATCGTTAAAAATACATATGTGCTCTGGCACGCAAATAGGGCGTACCACTTCAATGGCAACAAAATCGGGATCTTTTGGAAAGACTTGCCACATCCTATCCACTCGGTAGGTTTCCAATGGGGTTTTGGTTTCTCTAGCTTGGTGGCAAGCTCATCCATGACTCTGAGCCGATTGTGTAGCGTAGGCGTAGTGATAATATGGTTCGGTACAGGTACAGAAAATAAAACTACTACCTACTACTCTGAATGGAGGGCCAGGGGCCAACCACTGCCACATCGGTGGCCCTTGAATGGTGTGTCGGCCATTGTTCTACATACCCACAGCCTCGGTGGCTCTGTGATCCCGTGTCCGGACTATGATCCGACTTGGTGGCACCCACACACCTTGTCCGGATTGGTTGAACAAAGGTGGTTGACTCAGGGGGTGGTTTTGCCTGGACTCGTATCCAAGTTGTGTCCGGGTTCCGAAAATGTTTGTCCGGACTCCGTATCATACGTTGATTGGTATAAACACTAGTCCTGCGTTGACACGTCGATTGTGGGCCACAGCATAGGAGACTATGTGGAAAAATTCAAGCCATTGTGGGTGATGTCTAGCACTGGAAATTCCATCATCTGCCCACCCAACCCAAGCCCTGAGGTAGGGCTGCAGTCAGCCAATCAAAGGCTTGTAATCAATTTGTTTGAAGTGAGATCTAGGTTGGCACAGAGCAAGTTCCAGATCAATTCTGTACTACTAAACCTTCCAGAGCCCCTTCATGCAGTGAATGCCACAAACAAGCACGTCTGCAAAGCCAATCCGCACATACAGACTACCATTAAAACCCGGAGTCTGTGTACAAAAATTGGACATGGGAAATGGCAAGGACCTCAGGGGCCGCATCTGGTGAAATCTGAGATCCAAGATCTGACATCCCAGTGCATTGCCATACCTTCAATTTTTCCGCATTGTCCCCTATGCTGTGGCTCACGGTCGACGCATTGACCTGTCATGTCACACAGGTGACACCGAATCATTTGTGATTGGACCGATGCTGGTGATGTTGGTGCTCCCGCTGGTCAACTACGAGCCTTTTCACACATTTGACCTGCAGGGATTGTTTATAAATCCACTCCCCACTTGATACCGGAAAAAAAGTTTTCAACCAAAAAAAAAAGGGGGGGACATGCAAAGAAAATGGGGGTAGAACACATTGTGCCCCAACTTTTTTTGGTTGGAAACCAAAATCTCAAAAGTTGGGGGAGGGACCTTGGAACCATAAAATACTTGCGGAAAAGTCACTTTTTTGAAAAAAAAAGTGGGGGCACACCAAAAAAAGTTGGGGCAGAATAAATGTGCATTTTGACCGCCATACTACCGGGTGTCTCTACCCTCCTTTTGTCTCCGAATATGCACCAAACAAAGTGGGATGAATCACCATGGTCCATGGAAGTGAAGTGAACCTGGTTGTGTTCAGTAAGTCGCCGGAATTTATCCCCACAAAACGGAGTCGACTGGGAACGGGGAGGGAGAATCAAGGACTGAGATGAAAGAGTCGTACCCACCTTCGTCACTTAGTTACTTTGGTTAGGAATGTGAAAGTTCATCACTTTGGTGGATGTGTGAAAGTTTGTCATATTGCCTGGTTTCTGTGAAAGTAACCCTAACCGACTGACCCGAACCACTAACCACTAACCTTTAACCCCTAACCGGCTAACCCGAACCTAACCAGCCATTCACTGTGTTCCGACCCCCTCTAGACTGACCCCTGTCTAGCTTATGTTACATGCGGCTGCATGAGGCTATGTGCGGCTACCTGTGTGTACGCCGTGATGTCCGGCTTGCTTATGTTACATCCATCTACATCTGGCTACATGGCATAGACGAACTGTTATGTAACGTGCCTGCAAGCTAACACTGTTACCAACTGAGCCAAAAGGCCACTATGACAGGTTAATCCTGTCATAGGCTGCAGACTATATATACATGATTACACACATTTTGCATGCATGTAACACGAACCGTCAGCTACATATGTGTAGCTGTGCCTACGCCGTTGACGCACGTAGACACACCTCAAAATATGCTGTACCGAGAGCCCTAAGCTCCAGTCCGAGTCGTGTGGATGTAAGAATGACTTCTCGGCGCTCGCCGGTTGTCGGCATCAATGGTTGCCAAGCACAGCTCTCGGTCTTCAACCAGGTCGGCCATCAACTGTGAACAAGTTATTCCTCTTCACCTAAATCCTCGCCCCCATTCTGAATCAACTCACGGGTCCTGAAATATATCAGTGACATTCACATTTGGTATACATGTGTCTACGTCCACCTGTGTGTGGCTACCTTGGTGTACGTCAGTCTAGGTGAGTGGAAGGAGGTAGACCAATGTAGTTAGATATAGATGTGTGTAGACCAACTGTATCTACATTGCGTAGACACAGGTAGACAAAGGGGTCCATCTACCCTTCGTCTAGGGCGGTAGACGAACCCCCTGTCTATGGGGGGTGGGAACGCAGTGATTTCGGCAACTGATGATTCCCATGATTCAGTGATATGCCGAAGAGTTGCCGCTCGACAAGCTTGGAATACAAACTCACGAACTTTCATAGAATGCCTTCATACTCACGAACTTTCACAGATCCCATCAAAGTTGTGAAGTTTCACTACGCTAAGCGAAGTGACGAAGATGGTTGGACTCGAGATAAAAGGAAAGGAAAAAGAATCTTCAACCCGGATCACCCGGTCCCGAATCGAACGGGGACCTCCTGCCTATCGCGGATATATTCGACCTAGAAAAGGCAGGTGCACGCCGCGTGCTACCGGGTGTGCCCCTCTCCCTCCTTTGCCCTCGAATAAATGTGAGAGAACAGAAGTGAACATCGTAGCTGTGGATGAATCATTGGGCCGGGTTCGGAATTCAGTCCCCCCGCAAAGGAATCGACTGGTGAGATAATGCAGGGTGAGGACGTCGCAAACGTTTGAATGGGGCATGGAGGACTGAGATAAAAGGAAAGGAAAAAAATAATCTACAACCCGAATCACCCAGCCCCGAATTGAACGGGGACCTCCTGCCTACAGCGGATATATTCGACCTAGAAAAGGCAGGTGCACGCCGCATGCTACTGGGTGTTCTTACCCTTCTTTTGGCCTCAAATCAATGCGAGAGAAGATTGAAGTGAATCTGAGTTGGTTGGATTCCCTTGAAATTTGGCGCAATTTGGATATCTGTTGCGAGGGCGAGGACGATGGATGGTTTGAGTGGTGCAAGGAAAACTAATTAATACAGCAAAAAATGAAAGAAGGATTCATATAAAATAACTGGCTTACGCGACAAATCACTGATCACCGGGCTCCGAATCGAACGTGGCTAAAGCTCATGTATAGATGACAGTTGCACTCCATGTGCTACCGGGTGTTCATTTTCCCCTCAAATAAAGCAAGAGAAAAATGGAGTTGAAGATCACAGTCGTGATGAATCGTTGGGTTGGGTTCGGAATTCCGTTCCCCGAAACTGAGTCAGCTGGAGATTCGAGGGGGGTGAGAGTTGCGAGTTTGAGTGGAGCGTGAGAGGCTGAGATAAAATGAAATGAAAAAAAAGAGCAAGGCAATTTATTCAGCACCCGGCCCCGAATCCAACGGGGGCCTCCTGCCTATTCTATTAGTAGATGCTGCAGGTAAAGTAGGTGCACTCCATGTTGTCCCAGGCGTCTCTGTAATCCTTTTGCACTGGGATATATGTGAGAGGAAAATGGAGTTGGACATGGTAGTTGGATTCACTGGCATCAGGATATGATTCAATGAAGAAGAGTGAGTTCCGATTCAACAGTGAACGGTTTGAATCAGGCGTGAAGGACTGATATAAAAGGAAGGAAAAAGATATATAGGACATTGACAGATGTCATCACCCGGCCCCGAATCGAACGGGGGCCTCCCGCATTACATCCAATGAAATGTCCTTCTAGGGAAAGCAGGTGCACGCCATATGCTACCGGGCGTCTCTCAGCCTCCTTTACCCTCGAATAAACGAGAGAACAGAAGTGGGCATCACAGTCGTAATGAATATTTGGGTCGGGTTCGGAATTCAGTCGCCCCGGAAAGGAATCGACTGGTGAGGGTGAGAACGACGCAAAGGTTTGAATGGAGCATGGAAGACTGAGATCAAAGGTAAAAAAAAAATCCGTTATCCTCAATCACCCGGCCCTGAATCGAACGGGGACCTCCTACCTACCGCGGATATATCCGAACTAGAAAATGCAGGTGCACGCCGTGTGCTACCGGGTGTCTCTGTCATTCTTTTGCGCTGGAATATATGCGAGAGGAAAATGGAGTTGAACATCGCAGTTGTAATGAATGGTTGGCTGATGTCCTGCGAACTTTCTGAATTTATCCCGCACGAAACGGAAGCGACGGGGCATCTTATGGGAATATGAAAAACTGGAATAAGAAAGAAAAAGAATCACCTTGAACGCTGAATCACCCGGCCCCGAATCGAACGGGGCTTCCTGCCCACAATTTGGGGCATATCTGTACAAGGATGACAGGTGCACCCCATGTGCTACCGGGTGTCCCTACTCTTCTTCTGGCCTTGAGTATGTGCGAGAGGAAAATGGATTTGGTCATGGCAGTTGGATTCACTGAGACAGAAAAAAAAACTTTCAACCAGGAATCACACAGCTCCGAATCGAACGGGGGCCTCCTGCCTATTGTTCTAGTGGATGCTGAAGGTAAAGCAGGTGCACGCCATGTGCTACCGGGTGTCTCTATCCTCCTTTTGTCTCCGAATATGCACCAAACAAAGTGGGATGAATCACCATGATCCATGGAAGTGAAGTGAACCTGCGGGAATGGTTGTGTTCGGTAAGTCGCCGGAATTTATCCCTCCGAAGAGGAGACGGCTGGAGATTGGAGGGGCAGTGGGAGTGGTGGGCTTGAGTGGAGCGTGAAAAGCTGGGATAAATGAAAATGAAAAAAAAAAAATTGGAAGAGGCCCAGCACCCGGCCCCGAATCGAACGGGGCCTCCCGCATTCCATCGAAACGAGAAATCCTGTCAAGGAAGGCAGGTGCACGCCGCGTGCTACCGGGTGTCTCTGTCTTCCTTTTGCGCTGGAATATATGCGAGAGAAAAATGGAGTTCAACATGGCAGTTGTAGTCACTGACTCGTAGCTATTATCAGAGACTGCCTTCTCGGCCACCTTAGCACTTTTGGCCTCAAGCTCACATGGTAATTCGAGAGGGTCTGAATGTTTTGGCTCTCAGATGAAGGTATGGACCCTAGGAATGAGTGACAATATTTTCTCGAATTTACGCCCCAACTTCATCGCTCTTTGAATTTATTTTCGGCGGCATCCCCGAAATGGCAATAAACGGCCTAGTCGGCCACGCAGCCAAATCGTGAGCTTGCGCCGCTTCTATCCACCCCGCTGCATCCCAAATGGTTCAAGACATATAAATGAATGGTTCTAGACATATAAACCGTACATCTGAGGTGTATGGATAATAATACGAGCTCCCGTTCAAGCGAGGTGGGGCCCTAAAAGGGCTGTGAGAGCAGGATGGCAGGCCTTGTGAGATATAGACCACATCCAGGGCACAAATTATGATCCATATGCCTTCATAGGAAGTGTTTGAACATACCGAGTTGCACACAACATTTCCCACCCACACGCAACCCCTCTAAAAAAGTTCATCTACATGTGCAACGAAAATCCGATGGCTTTGGGCAGTAGCCCACTGCGACCGGGAACCTGTGCAGTCAAGACCCCAGTACTTTGGGAGTACATAGAGTCAGGTATGTTCAATGCAATAACCAAATTATAGGCTGGTAGCAAGCATAGCTGGTTTGCTAGAGAGTCGGCCGGAGTGCGCCACCCAGAAACTGCTTGAGGTGTTCATGGAGCGCATTGAGAGCGGAAACGATCCTCGCTCGCGAATGCGCTACAACGATATCATTCCCCTGAATCTAGGGATGAGTTTGAGCCTATAAACTTATGAATCGGTGGGGAATTGGTGGAGAAACAAGGAAGAGATGAGCGCAAAGGCTGTCTGGAAATAAGAAATGATGTTCGCATGCCGGCATCTTGGTCCAAGGCTTCCCACAACTTTTGATCGCCGTGTCCGTTTGGGTCCCAACTTGACACACGACGTCCTCACAGGTCATATTCCACCCCGCAAACACTAATCCTCAAGATTTTACACTACACGACCTGATATTATGCAAGTGGCCGACTAGGCAGTCGCTGATAATAATTCCTCACAACGACGAGTCAAGAGCACATCTGATGGAGAGCAGAAATTTTGAATGGAGCATGGAAGGGTGAGACAGAAAGGAAAGGATAATTTAAAAAGAATTGTCACCCCAGCCTATAATATGAATCACCCAGCCCCGAATCGAATGGGGGCGCATCCAACAGAACGACTTTCATAGGGAAAACAGGTGCACGCCATGTGCTACCGGGTGTTCTTACCCTTCTCGCCTCGAATCAATGCGAGTGAACGGGTCGCTTGGTTGGCAGGTCAACTTCTAACCCGCAGTTTATCGGGATATACTTTATATGATTCGATAAGCCGAGAATGAGCACAGGGATTGGACGATGCATGGAGCGTATGAAAGGGAGGAATCGAAGCAACAAAACGACCATCATAGTGTTGAACCACCACTGTAATGGGGGCAGTTGCACGCCATATGCTACCGGGTGTTTCTTGAGTAAGTATGTGCGAGAGAAAAGTTCAAGTGAACATCAGTCACGATGAACACCTCCGAAGTAAATTTGGGATTTATCCCTGATAAGGAGGCTGGGCATTCTGTGGGTTTGAGGGGAGGCAGTATGCAGTATGGAGCGAGGACAGATACAAGGAAAGGAAGGAATTCGTAAAGATATATCGGGCACTGGCAGACATACGCGTCATCGCCTGGCGCCGACTCATCAGCAAGTTGACAACTTGGCTTTTTCCACTTTTCTAAGACATAAAAGCTTCAAAAAGAGAAAAGGTCCGAAAAGACGTGCTCACTTTTTTAGGCCAAGTCCCTTTTTCCAAAAAAGGCAAAAAGACGTTGCTAAGACACGAAAAAGTGTGCCTTCAAGCTTCACTATAAGCCGAAAAAAGTGCGTCTCAAGCGCACACAATAGGCATAATCATAGATATATATTGGCATAGGGCATATGTAAAGCATGGAACAACATATATACGAGCGCGCAGAGATATGTACGTGGGAAATAGAATAACGGCACACCAAAAGACAGGATCTAGAAGTGGCAGCAGCGTTAGGATAGTGGCGTACATACTAAGAGAACTCACCAATCAGACTCGTTGTCGATCAATTCGAAATCCTCGGAGCTAGCTCCGTCCGAAATGGGGTCAGTAACGAACTGCTTGGACTTGGACTTCCCCTTCGAGGCGATAGACCTGGCTGCGGCGACGATCCTTTCCCATCGGTTGGCGGAGAGCTTGTTGACGACACCAGCGATAGTGGAGGTACTTGTGATCTCGATGGCTTGCCCTTGATGATACTCGGTGTGGTCACCCCAATTCTGTTTAGAAAAGGTGCCGAGCAGGCGTGCGGGTATGATGAGCTTGCCGGTCGCCATGTAGTTAAGACCCCGCTTGAGATGTACTCGAGATTAGTCAGCAGTCGGCGCAAGAAGAGATGATAACATACCGCCTGGGCCACCAAGACCACTGCACCCTTCGGATAGGTGCTCGGCAATGGCAGTGAAGTGCGCAGCTAAAGTTCGCGCGAAAACGTAGCCCCGAAAAATACCCTGGACGACAAAATATTAGGCGCTGATCGCAAATGAATAAAGAACATACTTTGGGATCCACTTCACCATCTTCGTTCTCGTATGTCTCATAGTAATAAACACGTGAGCGATCGTTGTCACCCTTCAGATAGAATTCGACAGTTTCCTTGATTTCCTCGGGGTTCTTCAGCTCCAACTCGATCCAGGTGTTCTGGAGGACATCTACGCCAACATCGGCAAGGTTGTGGCACCAGGAATAGATACGGTCTTCGGCCTGTGGAACGTGAGGATATTGAATGAAGACAAGATATGTACAGCTTACCAGCTTGAGAATGATCATCTTAGCCCGCTCCGTTGTCGGTGCGTAGTCAGGGAACACAGTCTCCCAGATCCTCAGAATGTCGCCAGGACTAGGGTCGGTCCATGCAGGTATGCGCCCGGCATGCTCGAGGAGGGAGGGCGTGAACGATGTGCGGAAGTCCACGCGGATGGCTTCAGGTAAGTGATTGAGGTTGATCTTGGACTTTTGAAGACACTGCTCGGGCTGATGGCGCAGCGGAACCAGACCAGGAGCATCAGTGTTGACGATGCCCGTGAGGGAGGAGACCTGGAGGCAGAGACAACGAGCAGAGATGACGAGAGGGGAGATGAGCGGAAGATCACGTTATGCAAGCAGTAACGTACTTTCGTGCGAGCTGACTTTCCTTTCTCGTCTGCCATCTCAGGCTGCTCTTCTCCATCGTCGACGTCCAATTCAATGCCTCCGAAGTTGCTGGCATCGCTGGTGGGCCCAAAGCCGGTGTCACTGGAGCTGTAACCACCACGATCAACCGACATCGCGGAGCCACCTGACTTGGAACGGCCGCGGGTGTCAACAGACATCACGGAGCTTGCACTGCGGGCATCGAACGAATCGACCGCTGGGGTCCTATGATAGCAGACCAAACTTCATGACAACCTCTAATTTTGGCCTATTTCATCCAGGATTGAAGATTTAGAACCCCAGAAAGTTGTTTTATAGGCAAAATTTTCATTTTTGAGGGGTGTTATACCGTGGGAAAAAAAAGCGCGAAATTTGACCGAGAGATGGAAAACTCTGTATACCTTTGTGGCCGTGAGGGTGACTCTGGTGATACTTCTTGCACTAAAGAAATGATTGAATGAGATATTTCTGCTCCTAGGGACCAAAGGCGGACAATTCTTGACTTGGTTGTATGATAAGGCATCAAAAAAGGAAATTGATTGACGTACACA